TTTTGGTTTTTTTTCTGCTAATGAAAAAAAAATTATGTTATTTGTTGGGTTAAAAAGTGTGAAAAATTAATACAAGGCTGCTGATATACCTGTTTCAACACTAGTTGAAAAATTATTTTGTAGTTAAAAATTTATAAAATGTTTAACTTTTATAGCTAAGGATTGAAAATTTAATACAATTTTCCACGTAAGTAGTTTATTCTGTATCAAAAAATCTAAAAATATACATAAACACAGATTTTTTTTTATATAGTTATTTTAAGTTCAAATTTGGATGAAATTAGATATTTAAACGAAAAAGAATGATTTTAGATTTGTGTTATATACTAAAAATATTTTTCGTGTGCACTTGAAACTTCCAAAGTATATTATTGTATGAAAATATGATAATAAACAAATAATAATTCTACTTAACCTGTTACCATAATTAATAATAACAATATAAATATAATGTAAAATATCCTAGGCTGACAAACCATTTCCGCTCAGAATCGTTTTTGGTATACAATGATATTATTATATCATTGAATTCAAATTTAACACCATCCATTAAAGTCCCCTATTTGTAACCTACTGTACAGCAGAGAGACATCCACTTACCCACTTTTTTATATTAGTTATAAATAAATATTAATAATGTATTTACTCATAATTTAATACACATATTTTATTTGAATATATTTGATAAGACTGTCATTGTTATTATTTTTATTTCATCATATTATTTATATTTAAATTGTTATTGTCAAATAAGTTGAATATTAAGTTTGCAGTTTAGCTATAGCAGATGTTACTCATTTTTGGAGATTATTTATACTGAGCCAATAAAAACATCCAGGATACTATAAAGTATAAATTACATTTCAACATTATGTTATATAATATTTGTTTTTATTAATTTTAATTCTCGACTTGAGTTTATGCATAATTTATAAAACTAATTCAAGAGAAGGCATAAAAACGTTGAGTTATTATGAGACAGACATTTAGGTACACTTAACGTGGATTAAGGAAAATATTATATTATATACTCGTTATACGCGTTATTTAGATAACTATACGAATATTTCATTCAGATTTCGAAAATGTTAAACTATTTCATAATACTTTCGAATTCAAAGTTGATGTATAACTTCGAATAACATCTACAAACTGTCTTTCGGAACATCAAAAATAACTGACCAAGAAAAATGATCGCGTGTCTTGTACGTTGAAAACAAAAATCTCTCCTACACTTTGATTGCGGCGCAGGGAGGGACGCGGACGGGTGGGGTGTCAGCCAGTATAGGTTCGGTGTACCTAACTTTTGTCGGCGACTCGTTATTATAATACATGGTGCGTGTATCAGTGTGTATACGTGCATATTATAATAATATATACAATGCGAGCACCGCACAATCACACACACACACACCCACCAACCCGAGCACCACCCGTCCACCCACACAAGCACCGTTTTCGAAACAAAATGTCACCGGGCATTATGTATAATAATATTAATATCATAATGTTTAACGAATTGCCGGGCGATTTATTGTGTATATATTATATTATATTGTGTATTAACCGCGCGCGCTGGGCAGAACGTCGTCCGCAGAAACGGCGCGCGTACACCGAAATCCGCCCGGCGTCCAAAAACCGAGCGCGCCAGTTGTTTATCATGCAAATTGTGACCAGTAAACAATGGCCGCTCACTATATCGGTTTGGGGAAATTACTGTACTATACTATACACTGGTGCACTACCGATGGCGCTTACGCCTCGTAGGAGTGCGAGTGCGGACCACGAGCGGTAACGTGCCGCACGCCCATTGTTGTCGTCTGCGAAGGACGCGAGATGGAGAGAGAGAGAGAGAGAGAGAGGGACAGGGCAGAGAGGATGGGAGAGAGTGAGAGGCACAGAGATACGTCGAGAGTGAGGGGGAGAGACTTGCCGCTGCTGCAGTCTTCACGTAATATCATTATAATTATTGTTATATTCGTGTATACATATTTCGGCATGTAAATTTTCGTCGCTGAAGCTTCGGAAACCGCGTTCCAAATACGACCCGGTCGAGGTTTATCACCTTAAAATTTAATACCCTTTCTTCTCTCTTGTACGCCTTTTCGCGTCGTCCTCGTCGCCGTCGCGTATATAATCGTCGAGTGATTTATATATACACGCACCGCCGTATAGTCCACGCGAGCCGTTGTGTGCACGCACAGATAGAGATGCGCAACCGGAAGGACGGAAGTCACGAACTCGGACTCTGCACAACGCACACATACACACACAGAGTGGCTTTCGAGAAAATGAATAATAAACAACGTTCGGCGAGTAGTAGAAACGAATAGTGAATAACGAAATACGTCGTTTTTGTCCTGAATATAATATATTATATATTTGTTAATAAAATCCGTCAAGTTGTTTTAATAGCTGTTTATGTAAATATTTAACCAAAAAGTAAACATATTATACTTTTTTATTGGAACAAACACGAGGTGCCTTCATAACACATATCATACAATATGTGTACACTGTACAGCATACGTTATAGATATAAATAATAGTTCAGAATTAAATTAAAACGTGTAGGTACTCGTACTTCTAACAAAGCTGTGTACATACTATATATCCTAATAGGAGGTACAGTGTAGACACTGTGTTCGGGAGAGACATATTTTTTCTACGCGATTCATCAGTCACTATGGAAAACATCAGCCATTCACTTTATATTAATAATAACAAAACACACTATAACAATATTATATTCGCTATTATAGTGTTAGTTGTACTCTGGGTTTGTATAGATGTATCACAACAATAGGTATATTGGTAATATAAATAAATATATTTTAATAAAACCAGAAATTAAGTAGGATCTGGCCATTGGAGAGTGTCTGGTATGAGATATTATACAAGTGATTATAAAATATTTTATAACAGGCACAAGCAGTTTATTAAAACAGCAGTTTATTATTTGAAACTATAAATTTCATAAGCGATAAATTGTAACAATTCAAGATCACAAATTAAACTAAAAATGTTGTGATTTCATATTTAATATTATATAATATATATTATATATGTTATTATGATCAATGTTGAAGAGCTAGATTTTTTTAATGATATTGTGGAACAAAAAATGTAAATTCTGACACTATAAATAAACATATTTTTTTCTATTTCCGACACTAACGATTTTTTTTTAAATGTAAATTTTAACTCTTAACAACGCTTAAAATGTATGCATGCTATTAAATCAACTTAAAAATACAATATTTTTTGCTATTATTAACACCGATTCCTGGTAGTATTTTAGTGTTTGTTTTTTAATTAGTGATTTGGTTAGTAGAATATATAAGTTATTAGATATTGATTATTTATGCTCCACTTACTACACAAGTTCAAAACGTATTAAATTAATTAATAGTTTTAATAGCTTATGACAATATTGGGTTAAATTAATTTACAGAAATCAAAAGTCCCATGTAACACACAAAAACTTTTTATATTAAAAATAATAACTATACGATTTCGCGTTATGGAATTATTTATAAAATGTATGTAAAATAATATTTAAAACCAATTAACGGGGAGAATTGTTGGTAATAATTAAAAGTTTCAAGACCATGATTCTGTTGATCTAGTATGAGTTTCACGTAAAATAATTTTCAAAACTGTTAATATTTTAATGGATTCAGGGAAGTAAAGTTTTTTTTTTGATTAAGTCGTTAAATTGAGAATATCTATGGTTAAAACTAGGTTTAAGGTGGAAATATATTTTAAAAAATGTTGGTGAATTTTTTCTTCAGTAAAAAACGTTGATGATGGTAAGTTATAGTAGAGATATTTGGTGATTCTGATTAATAGTTACTCGTTCCGACGGAATTTGTCAATAACTCAATCGGATATTGTCCTTAAGAAACTGACCATCACTCAGATAAACGTTTTCGAATGCGACGATACTGAATAATAGATATTGATTACAAATTTATAACCACCACTATCTGCCATTGAGCTCATAGGCGCAATTTTAACTTTTGACTTGGGAGGGCTGAATATATTAAAGGCAAGCAGACCATTTATTGCAATATAGCATGTTAAAATTTATGACCTAGGTTTTTTGGAGGGGGGATTAGCACCCCCCAAGCACCCTTTAATTTGTGTCTATGATATAGCTAATAGACTAAAACGAGCTCACACCAACCGGTCACCTATGATTATGCTTGGTGTACAGTATTTATAGAACGGCGTATTGTATAGGCAATATAGGTACATAACTGCGTAGAATAATATTTTAAAACGTCTGTTACAAAGAATAATATTGACTAAAAACTACTTGCGTATACACTATTCATAAGTGGCATAGTGGCTTTGTGTGTGTGTGGGGGGGGGGGGTTGATAATGTGTCGATTCAGAGTTGGTTTTACTAGGGTCCTTCATAAGTTTAGCATACTGATGTCGAGGTTTTACTTTAGGTTTCAGTTCCTGTGAGGGCTATACAAATATGTATTTGCAGTAACTTTCATAGACCATAGAAATAATTTTTAATTTGATTAAAATGTCGATAGTGGCACAGACCCTCCAGCGCCTCTGGCTATGTCACTCGTTTTCCATAACGTATAATATAACATGTCTAATGTACCAAGTCTTTGATCAATTTCTAATATACTTATTGTAAAGAAAAAAATCAAGTGGTGTTAAATGTGACAGGTCATTCAATAGAATGTCATCCAATCCAGAAAATATGAGCAACTGACTAAATAGGCTTAGCGACTAATCACATTTTCGATCAATTGATCGATATCAATACGCATGAACTTTGTAAGGTCATAATTTGTCCAACCTAACAAATTTATAATATAAAAAATTGTTACTATCACAATGTTCCATAATAATAATAAACGATTTTAGAACAGTTATTCTAAAATATATGATTCCAATACTACAGTGCGTTTCGATGCATAAGCATCGGCGCAACACAGACTTTATCTTCCACACAGCTCTGCAGACAGAAGTCATATGGTGTGAGGTCTAGTGTTTTTGGAGCCAGTAATTGATATGGTGAATTGCTGGTTATCTGCACAACCTGTCCAGTGTTGTGAATAGTGTCGATTTAGCAAGCTGCGATCAACACGGCTCCAATGTGGAGGAGTTCGAATACCGCCTCCATATTGTTCATGTTTTGGTTGGTGGCCACATTGAACACTTGTAGAAATAATGTAAGAATTCATGAAATATATATTTACTTTTTCTGTACCATTTCTCAATAAAAAGTTACAGTCATTCAAAATTGGTACATTCTTTTTGAATAATTACACTGTATTATAATAGTTTAGTCACCATCCTCAAAAAAAGAAGTATAAATCCGTTAGGAATCAGAATTTGAAAATGTTTAATAATATGATGAGAAGAAAGTTTGTAAAGCAAGTTTTTTGAAAAGTAGGTGGTGTTTGAGGAACCATATAATAAAGTATTAATTCAATATGTAAATTCTTTTTAGTTCGTTATTATCTTTGGCAATATTCATCACAATGGACTGATAAATATTGCAAGAGTTTTAAGAGACATTTTGCGTTTGTATTTTATGTTCTACAATATTAACGGTTTTCTTTTCCTAAAATACTGAGTCTCTCTGGTAGTTTATTGTCCATAAAAAGCATGGAAACACTATTTGTCGTAACGCCAGCAGCATAACTTTTACATTTTTCTCATAACGAATACATAACTTTTATGTGAATGAAAAAAATAAAATATAAATATAAGCAATTCGAGTTCTATTACGTTCCATACATTATTCGAGCACGGTATGTACAGAAGTATAGGTACTATGGTGCAATATCGTTACTTAAAATTTAGGTAGTAATAATTTATCGTCAACACATGTTCGGAACGTTGAAAAGTAATATCGTTGAGAAATTCGTTAAGATTGGTCGGTTTTTTATTAGCTTGTTAATATCAAAATATATAATATAATACATGGATGGATAGGATTACATACCCGTCCTGTATTATAATGTAGTGGTATTTTTTTTTTTATTTTTTTTTTTTTTGCGGATGTTGGGCGGTGGGAGCTCGGAAGAGAAACAGACGATAATAAGGGAACAAGGGACGTTGCTTGTGGTCAGGAGGAAGAGCCAGGAAGAAGATATGGGTTCTGTTTTATAACCTCTTTTTATTATCGCTAAATTCTCATGTAGTAATCCTCGGTGTCCCGTTCCTTTGTTCTCTACAGGTAATATGCGCTCTCAACATAATATCTTTGTCGTTGAAATACGATAAAAACGGTCGGTTAGGTTAAATGGAATAGGAAAATCAGGTGCGGCCTACCTAGTAAATAAGTACGACGGGTTCACACGCCGACGGTTTGATCGAACGAGTGTAATTAAAAAATTCAACGACGTAATATTATAATTGTTCACATCGCGCACGCACTTTGTTGTTCGCTAATATTTTTAATCGTGTATGTGCCAGCTATATTATGCCCATACCTTTTACCTAACCGGGTTCCGGAGGAAATTTTTAGGTTGCGCGTACATAATGATAAAACGATTTCCCGCCGCAATCCTTGCAGGATCGTGTCTTCAAACGGAACGCCAGAGACGGGAGGGGAGGGGTGACGATGAGGGTCCTCGAAAGAAGGGGAGAAGTGTTTCGCACAGCTAAACGAGTAAATCGGTTTAAACTGGGGGCTACAAAATAATAATATTCTCTGTAAAATTGATTTGGTCAAATCGATTTTCGTTCGTATTATTTCGACTGACCGTCCGTCATCGTCACTGCGACGTGGACGGCAAATGGTCCACGTCGTTACTATTATAGCCGTACATGCCACACGGAACGGCACTTTAATAATATAATAATTTATGTTCTCAAATTTATGCCTAAGATCGTCGATTGTAAATACTAGTATTATAGTAATATAGTTACCAATGCTACGATGGTCGAGCACATTTGCACCGGGACTGCGAAATTTCGGTTTTCAATAGACGTAGGATTGGGGGAGAGTCAAAGTTTAGACCAGTCTATTACACCGAAAATAAATAACTAGTAGAAAACTATTTTTCCATTTACCTTATCAGCTTATCTCAATACAACGCCTCCCCCCAACAATGTGGGTACATTGTTTTATATTATGAATAATATCGTTGACAAAAGTAGCCTAATTTTTGGAATCGCGGACGTTTTGTCCCCGTCATTTCGTACATGTAAAAAATAACGAATCCACAGACTTTGGTCACCGTAAAAAGTTAAGGTAGGACGTGTGGTGTCCCGGTATACTAAATTATCAGTCATATTTAAATCAATATTTTTTTTATTTCAAATCTTTAAGCATTTTTAATAAATGTAAAATACCATTATAGTTATTAAATTGAAATGTATTACAATATAATTTTCACTGCCAAAGTTCAAATAATATAAGTAAATAATATAAAAATAAAATACTTTTGCAATATAGGTAATTTGCAATTTGCAATACAATACAATATTTTATATTTTTTTTTTAAATAAAAAGTTAATATAAATAATTCGGATATGATATTGACATTTTAAGGTTACAATAAATAGTGACTGAATTTAAATATCAAAACATATTATATAAAATTATGTAAATGTATTATATTTTTATTTATGCACCGCTCTCAGCTCGTATACATATACCTTTAGCGTACCTAGGCAATGTCGTGGTTGTTCACTTCGAAACACGTCCACCGTGCTTTATTTTTATTTGAAACTATAATGAAGCTGGTCTACACCGTGTCGTGTCGTATCGTGTAAAATAATTTTCTCTGATTTTCTGATTAATGGAACCACTTAGTTCCATTGATTTATACCCACGACGTAGACAAGATATCGTCTCTAAATCGTGGTTAAACCATATGGTTAATCGTTATTTTATCACACCATATACCACAGTAACCAAACGCTACCCCATAGTTGAATATATTTATGTTACATTTAAGTGTATAAAAGTGATAACTAAAGTAAAATTATGAATCGGCATCAACAGCTGGAACAATATTAATTTCATTTGTTGTACATGCCTCCACATTATTATAGAAATCTTTGTTGATTTTTTGTACCTACGTTCTTCCTATATAATATCCCCTTCTTTATGTTTGACAGAGGAAGAATATAATAAACAATGATAGCTAGCATTAAGAAAAAAACCATGTGTGTTATCAGTACGCTCGCGGGAAGTTAAACTTCTTTTGAATGGTACACGTGAGTGAGTGAAAAAGAAAGAAAAAAATATTAATTAATTTAAAAAATGAGAAGAAGTATCCGGAATTATTTATTATTGATAGTTTTATTATTTTTTTTATATTTTTATTCGACAGATCGATGGATAATTGTTTGTAGTATTGTTTTTATCCAGACAATAGATTTGTGAGTGAATACTAATAATAATAATAAAAATAAATAATAATCGATCATTAATTATTCATATTAATTAGTATGGCCCGATTATAATATATAATACTAGCTGATCCCGTGCACTTCGTCGCCCTTTAAATGTATCAACTCAATATGAGTTATGACTCAAACTTTGTTCAATTCGTTATTCAATATTCGGTGTATGGTGTTCAAAATGTATCTTATCTTTTCCGTTGCCCGGAATAAAAATTCTGAATCGCAGCAGTACATTATCAGGTAGGCAATCTACCTGCGGTAGATCGCGGACCCCGTGCTGTTTGTACGGAAGTGTATGATTTAACTCTAAATTATCAAAGTTATACCAAGTTTATTTTGATATAATACGGTGGATTAATATAACAAATTTGGTTGCTCGTAAAAAATCACAACTCTTAAAAAAATTATGTTTGTTGAACTCCTTTTGGGTGTAACTTGCTGGGGTAAGTGCAACTCAGCCACCCTGGTAGGCAATGTTCAATAATTTGATTTGATGCAAGCTTGTATCTGATCTGCCAGAATAACCAATGGCAACCAATAAATAAATGCTAATTTCTAATGTAGACTGTAACCAATGGCAACTATTAATAAATAAAAATAAAATTTCCAATTTCCATCTTGAATCTCAATGTTCCTGTTTGAGCACCTATTTAAAATGCGAATTTCGAAAAATCCTTTCTTAGCGCACGTCTACATCATAATAGCTATCTGTATGCCAAATTTCAGCCAGATCCGTCCAATGGTTTGAGCTGTTTGTTGATAGCAGTCAATCAGCTTACTGTTTTATATATACAGATATTAATATATATATATTATAATATATAATAAAACAACATTACCATGACAATATTTATTTATTTACGGACATGTACGCTTTCGCGTTCGTACGGCCGTCCGTTCGTACGCGCCGCCCGTTCGCTTTTTTTTCCTCACTACAGGGCCTAAAATTAAGATATTTTGCTACTGCACACCTTAATCCACACCAAAATATTTTAATGTAATGCACCTAGTAGTGCACATGCCACATGCCACATATAACTTCATTGCATAATTGTTTTTGTTATTCATTAATAATTAGTTATAATAAATACAATCTAAAACAATCTTCTATATAAATCCTTGATACCTATATGGCTATATGACTGGACATTTTAAAATTAAAAACGAAATAGCTTAGGTTAATATAATTATTATATTATAAGCCGCCCAGAATATGATGTAGTAGGTATTATTTTTAGTGTTAAGGATTTTAAACGAATACAGTATTATGCTAATTACCAATTTTCAATAATCAATATTGAATATTAATCAAATAAAAATGTATAAAACCAAAAATGAGTACTGCACACTTTTAAATTTGCTACTGCACATTTAATATTAGCTACTGCACATAGTGTGTGCTACTGCACACAATTTTAGGCCCTGCCTCACTACCATGCGTAAAGAAGTATAACTTCAAAAAAAAACATGAAATAGGAAGGTATACAGTGGTGTGTAGCTAGGGTGTGGGGGGCGGCTTTACCCCCCAACTGAAATTTTAAGAAAATTTAAAATTATTTCTATGGTCAATGAAAGTTACTGCAAATACGAATTTGTATAACCGTACAGGAACCGAAACCTAAAATAAAACCTCGGTATCAGCGTGCTAAACTTTTGGGAAACCCTAGTTTAACCAACTCTGTGTAAACACATTATCAGCCCTTCCAAAGAAAAATCGTTGCTACGCCACTGCAGGTATAATATTATTTTCTTTACACAACAAACACACACTCACAAACCAGTTATATCTTGTATATACGCATCTATATATTGAAACTTA